AGCCATGGTAGCCGTCCTCAAGGACTTCATCCCTGATAAGGTTGAAGTTTTTCTGGATGACTTTCCTATAAAAGGACCAGTAAACAGGGATGAGACAGAGGTTATACCTGGAGTTAGAAGATTTGTCGAGCAGCACCTAACAGACATTTACGATGTACTCGAGCAGCTGGACGATGCAAATTTGACAGTCAGCGGGACCAAGACTTGATGGGCCGTCTCGACTATTAAGATCTTGGGCTTTATATGTGACTCGAGAGGACGCCGAGCAGACCCGGCGAAGTTAGACAAACTCCTGAACTGGCCGTCACCGTTACATAGCCCAACCGAGGTCCGGCAGTTTCTGGGAGTGGTCGGTTACTGGCGTATATTCATACGGGGGTATGCGGAGAAGGCTGAGCCATTGAGGTTACTCCTTCGAAAGACTGAAAAATTCTACTGGGATTCTTCGAAAGAACTCGCAATGCAAGAACTTAAAGACGAATTTAAGGAAGGAGGACGCATGTTGGGTGTGCCATTTTTTGACGATGAGACCGAGAGACCCTTCATAGTATTCACGGATGCTGGACCATGTTCAGTCGGTGGTTTGCTGTCTCAGAAAGACGCTGGAGGGAAGGAAAGACCGTTAAGATTTGAGAGTAGGACACTTAATACGGCTGAGCGCAACTACGGTCAATTCAAGAAGGAAGTGTTAGCTGTTCTCCGGTGTCGAGACACGTTCAGACACTATATCTATGGGCGACGGTTCATCTTGAGAGTAGACCCCACCGCGGTTGCCTCTGTCCTCTAGAAGGACTTTAGTCTGACGGACCCGACCATTGCCCGATGGTTAATACGGATTCGGTTATACGATTACACGGTCGAGACAATATCTGGTACTAAAAATGTTGTGGCAGATGGACTTTCACGCATCCCTCTCGAGCGTCCGATAGTAGCTGGGGCTCTGACAATGGCAGAGCCGAGACGCGCTGTGAGATTTCTAGTTAATCTTTACGAGAGCAAGTACCGAATGATCGGACTACACCTGACGGGAGAGGAGAGTCAAGACTCAGATATCCGGAGGCAAGCAGCCCAGTACTGCCTTAGAGCGGACCACCTTTTCCGAAGGCCAGTAGGGTCGGGAATGCCCTTACGAGTAGTCTGTGATCCTGAGGAGAGACAGATGATAGTTGCGAAACTTCACGACGGGGTAGTCGGAGGACACAGGGGAGTTAAAGGAACCTATGAAAAGATACGCTGGCTGTACTGGTGGGAAGGACAGTATAAGGACGTCGAGAAGTACTGTATGACATGCCAAGAATGCCAGAAGAGAGCTCTTGTGAAATACAAAGAGTCACTTCATCCATCCTATCCGACCAGACGAGGAGAGAAGGTACACATCGATCTAGTGAAAATGCCGAGAGGGTTAGGCAATATGAACTACGTTGTGAACATACGAGACGATTTCACTGGGTTCGTGGACGGTAGACCTATCAGGAGTAAGGCGGCAAAGGAAGTAAAGAACTTTGTCCTAGAGTACTTATCTAGGTATGGTTGTGCCAGCAAGATAGTGATGGACAGAGGGGCGGAATTCCTAGCCGACGAGGTCCAGAGCGTGTTTAGGAGAGCCGGTGCGAGAGTTTCGATAACCACCGCTTATCACCCACAGTCGAACTCCCCAGTAGAGAGGGGACACCAGACTCTGATAGCGTCACTGTCCAAGTGGTGCAAGGGTAAGGACAGTGATTGGCCACGATATTTTCGATACGCGATATGGGCGGACAACGTCACGGTCCGGGCTAGTACCAGATACCCACCGTACACCTTGTGGTTTGGACGACATTGTCCGCTTCCCATAGAATTTCACGTCGACAGCTGGACAACCATCGGCTGGGCAGAGGAGATGTCCAGAGAAGAACTCTTAGCTGCCCGAACGAGACAAATAGCCTACGGTTTGAAAGAAGACCTCATGACAGCGGCAGATCGTCTGGTAGTGGAAAGGGAGAAGGGTAAAGAGAGATGGGATAAGAACGTGCGAATCAGGAAAGAGAGGGTGAGCGTAGGAGATATGGTCCTTCTCTACGATGCAGCGCTAGAAAGGACCTGGACCGGAAAGCTTGCCAATAGATGGATGAGACCTTACAAAGTGGTTGAGGCACTTGACTGGGGTGCATATATGATAGCAGAACTAGACGGATCTAAGTGGAAGGACCCAGTGGCGGGGGCTAGGTTAAAGCTGTTTAGGCCCAGGCCCACGCCCGCTTTATCACTAACCGGCCCGAAAGGGAAAGGGAAAGCCATGATGGAGGATGGAGCGCCCTTGAGGCAATTCGAGCCAGGAGAGAGTTCCAAGAAAAGGAAAAGAGTATAGAAGAGAAAGGTCAAAGGGGTAGCTTTAGGAAGAAAGAAGAGGTGGTTATTCGTGCTCAAGCGAGCTAGACGGAGCGTTCGCGTTAGACGTACTGGCTGGTCGACACCCTTCTCGGGGCAAAGACAGAAGGAAAAAAGGATCGAGCCGGGACCAAAAACCAGAAGAAACAGGAGAGTCAAGGAGCATCTTCTTAGCCCCAAGACTCATGACAAACTGAGACATAAGACAATTAAACGCCGACGTGGACGTCCTTTACGGGTCATCACCCTGAAGCTCGTCCGCTTCGTCTGACGTAAGTTGCTAGGGCTCGACGGGGGCGTCGAGAAGTGGTCCGGGCTAACTGTCAGGCGGCCACAAGCAGTGAGCCGCCTGAGATCTGCAGTTTTGGGACTTAGGCTCAAGGGCAAGTCTGTGTTTTGACGGTACTCTGGTTTGACTGGGCGACAGAAATTAGGGGAACTCAGGGTACCCCTGATTCTGGGCACACTGAATCTTGCAAGTAACCCTCAAAGATAGCGAGATGGGTGGGCGCACTCGGCGTATCTAGAGACCGTCATTTCCGGCCACTCGGAGGGCTGAAGCCGGATTAGCCTGCCGCGGAGAGGCATCACGGAGACGGACCTCGCCGCAACGTTTTTGCAGCATACGACCGCGGTCGAAATGAGGCCTCAGATTTTTGTCCATTTTAGTACCAAAATTAAAGATGGGGAGAAGGGATTAAGACCAGTAGGGAAGAAGAGAAAAACATAATATCCGTTAATTTCTTTATTTTTCACGGCATTTACTTATAGGGGGAATACCTTTGTTATTTTATGTTCCCGGCAATGAAATTAAAAACGAAGTAAGAGATTAAAAAAAAAATAAAAATAAATGGTAAAAGAGAAAAGAAACAAAAGGGACTCGGACACTTATTTGAACTTTCTCAGAATTTAATTTTGGGGATCTTACGGTTAATTTACTATTTTCGACAAGAGAATTAAGGAAAGGCAAGAATGGTGAAAAATGATGAAAGGGACGAGAACCCGTGATTATTGGGAAGATTGGCCCTACTTCGTCTCGATTACCCGCCATCAGCTCTGACCCTGGATGGAACATTTTCCCCGGATTTTAACAAGTTTTCACTACGACCGATGGTCGATGGTCGAGGTTCCCTGCGTCGTTTTCCCTAATTTGCTTGATTACTAACATTACCGCAGTTGGGATGTTCTAAGAGCAGGAGTCGGATGGACAGGTGCTACCTTGGATCGACTATGGTGTTTGATACGGTACGGATACGAGGGTGAATACGGAGTGGCTACGTCCTACGGTGTCTGACGTGCTTCAGGTACGGTATGGGCCCGGTGACAGCTGTTTCACTAAGGTAACTTAATATCGGGACAGCTGCGGTGATTTATTCTCAGGACCAAGGCCACTACGATAGTTTTTTCAGGTTTGGAACCTTGGCGGCAGTTTGATTTCAGGTCCGGGAACGTTGCGGCATTCTATATCAGCTTCGGGACAGGCATGAAATTATCATGGCATGGTTGTACGGGTTCGRCATCCGTGTGGCATAGCGGCCCGGTATTGGATTTCGGGTTTGGTGAGGTTCGGTGGCATCACGGTGTTTCGTTTCACGTTCGACACCCTCACGACGATTTATTYCAGGTCCAGAACCCCTACGACAGTTTATTTCGGGTTTGGAGCCGCCACCGCGGGTCGATTTCAGGGTCGGAACCACTGCGCTGCCATATCTCAGGATCGACATCGGTTTGACACATCTCACGATAACATTTTCAGGTTCGGCAACACTACGRAAATTTWTTTCAGGTACGGGACCTTGACGACAGTTTATTCCCGGGACGRCACCATCCCGRGTATTTATTTCAAGTCCGGCGCTACCACGACAGATTGTTCCAGAGTTGGAACCGTCATCGTGGACTATTTCCAGACCCGAGATCTTCACAGATATTTATTTCAGGACCGGTGTGAGCCCAACATTGCTACGCTTCAGATCGACTGCTGGTTCGGGACCGGCATGGAGCGAGCCACCACATTATCAGGTTCGGAAAAGCGAAGGCAGTGTGGGTCGCCTGCATCACAATATAGTAGTCTGCATCGGGTTGTCATTGTGACGGCGCCGGCGACAACTGCTCGGTACGGTGTCTGCAACAGGGGCAAAGAGAAACTGCACTATGGCTTCGTTATTCCAGCAATCCCCTGGCTCGGGCGCTGGCAGATCGGCTGCAGTTGAGCGCACTCACTTAAAATCAGGGGCGGTACCGCGGCTAAAAGACCGGCATTATACTACGCAGGGCTTCGGGCTGCCACACTGACCGATGGGGTRCCTGATCTCGTCCAGTGAGGCTTGGTCTGAGAGGCCTGACCGATGGGGTACCTGGTCTCGTCCAGTGAGGCTTGGTCTGAGAGGCCGCTGCCGCTGGGGGACAGGGGATGAACGACTAAAAGGAGGACTGAAGAAAGAACGAAGGGGGTGTGTGTGCAAGGCGTGCCCGCGATTGCAAGCACGGGGTGGAAGCATGGACGCTTAGGCGGTTAGTCGGGGGAGAGAGGAGGGAAGAGAGTGGGATCGCATGCCAGGTGGACACAGCGATCCGCTGACTCGAGCCGCAGAAAGTCAGGAGGAGAACGGCGCGAGGTAGTTACAGGGGAGGCAAGGCGGCGGGTAAGGAGCGCGCTGCACCATGGGCTTCAACGAAGAGAGACAGAGAAAGAAGAGAGAATGAGTCCGAGAGAGTAAGAGAGAGAGAGAGGGTGAGGGACAGAGAGAGAAGAAGGACAAAGACCAACTGAGAGAGGGAGACTGAGTGTGAGTAGAGAGGCACAGGGCGTGTGTACGTGAGTACCGGCGAGAGAATCCGGAGGCGCTCAGTCTTCTCAAAGGGGAAGTGACCACTGGCAATCCCGTAAAATAGTGAACTTTCTATATGGTAAGCACGACCCTTCATTTGCGGTGGCAAACATCCCAACGTCAGTCGCGTTTGAATTATGCTCGCCCGCTTTCCTGTACARCCCGGTTGGGAGTACAGGYGAGGAGATCTGTGACATGGGAAGAYAGACACAGGCAGRGGAGACAGGGGACAGGCATGAAAGGCATACCCAGTCCGCACTTGTGAGCGGCCGGGKAGAACAGTAYAGGCGGGTGRCACTGAGGGTGCGAGGTATTCACGGCGTATTACTTTCGATTGGTGGAGAGATGCGGTTATGAGGGCTCTTGACGAGGGAGACGGGAGTTAAGAGCAGCGAACAGCGAAGTGAAGGACGAAATGCCCCAGGGGTGCCCTGCCATCGTCGCCACTCGGGCGCAGGGGAAGACCCTGTGGAGCATCCAGCATGGTATCTTTTGCCGTTTCGACCAGCACTTGAATGTAACGATGCGTGAGCGCGCACCTGATGCTCCATAAACTCTAGCCGCTTGGACTGTGCAGCTACAGTGGGTCAGAGGGTTGAACGGGTTGATGGTACATGAGCGCTGAAGAAGCGATCATCGACGGTGCTGGCAGTTGAATCTATGCTACTAGGGGAAGTTGTCATTACCGCACAGTCAAGCTTTCCCAATGGTTGGGGAAGAGTGAAGCCTGCAGGTAAGCTTGAATTGAGTTCATATTTGTGGAATTATGGTGAAGTTTACCGAAACTTAATTCTCCGTTCGAGGTGAGTAGAACCGCGCCCCAAAGAGAGAGAGAGAGAGTCAGATTGGGGGAAAGCCTCATACAACGGGAGAGAAAGGGAGAGACGGGGAAAGAGAGAAAGAGAGGGTGACGGAGAGAGGGGCGCGTTGAGATCAGAGAAGTTGTGCGGGAAGATAGAGCCAGTCAGGAAAGCAAGAGAGGGACTGAATTCTCGACTTTTGTCAAACCGTGCTTCTAAACATGTACGTGTCCAAGTACATTCAGGTTCGAACTCGCCAGACGATTCGATGATCCAGTTAAGATCGTTGTCGGGATCTCTTATTCTCACAGGTGAGCGATCCATTTACTCCCGTCATCAGCGGCAATAGTCTTGCCAGTGGGAAGGCCAATCTATTAACGATGTTGGGGGTATCAACCAATCCGCTTGAAGCAAAAATCAGTTATTTATGCTGCAGCACGTATCATCTATTAATCGTCCCCGTTTTCCCCGCTGTGGGTGAGATCGGACGCTCGTATTAAAGTGAGGGTCAGGCGCACCCCTTTGTTGGCGTGATCAACCATTAATGAGGGAACCAAATGTAACTGTTGTTCACGATAACAGCAACTCTCGAGCGAGATGTGTCCGCCCCTGAAATGACCAGTCACTTACATGGATGTGACAAACGGCCATTCTCACTGTTGACGGGGCATGCAAGTTTGCGATTAAGCAGTTGCACAATGAGCAAGGGCCCCCTCCGTAAAGGAACATTACTAGAAATTTGAATTGTATCTTTCTGCTCGGCTGGCATTTGATTGACTGGTTCCCGCTCAGAAAAGGCAGATTCTTCAGGGCTGTGATTGGCTGGCCCTTTGACTGAACGGTAATTTTTCCTGAAACCCATTGAGTCAGGCCTTGCTTTATTCCGCTGCAACTCTCGGTGATCAAAGTGAGCAGGAACTCGTTTTTACTTACTGTTGCTCTTGCAGACCTCAATGAGCAGGGATTCCTTTGCACTTGCTGTTATTCTTGCAGATCTCAATGAACAAGGACTCATTTTTCAATTGCTGATGCTTTGCTAATCACAATGAATAGGGGCCGGATTTTAACCGCAGCCGTATTTGTTGATCGTCGTAAATAGAGTCTTGTATTGGCACATGGGTTGTATCGACGATCGTTCAGAATCGAACTTCGTCCAGGCACACACAAACCGCCCCCGCTGGTGACCTTGAGAGACATCGAGACAGGACAATACCAAGTCTGCTCCCTGCTGGTTGCTGAGGACCTCGGAAGCGGGCGCGCCGAGTGACAGGCGTCGTTGCCCTTGGCTTCAGCGAATTGCAGATGACCCCTCCCCAGGTTTCCCCACAACGTGTCCTATCTTCGTCCCTTGCCACCTTCTCCTTCTCCTCCATCGTCCACGTCATCCTTCGATTCAGCGAAGGAAAAGAACAATCTCTAG